CTAGTAGTAATGCCAGAAGCTACTAGTAGCTTCTTGCTACCAGTAGTGCCCTTGTTACTGGTATCGATGCCCTTGTTACTAGTTTTTTCTAAGTAGTAGTAATGCAAGGAGCTACTATGTAGTAGCTTCTTGCTACTAGTAGCAATGCCAGGAGCTGCTAGTGGCTTCTTGCTACTAGTAGTAATGCCCTTGCTACTCGTAGCTTCTAGCTACTAGTAGCGATGCACCTGTTCCTAATAGCGATCCACATGCTAGTAGTAGCTTCTCGCTACTAGTAGGATGTTGCATATTGTTGCCTTTTTTGTGTTTGTCCTGCAGGATAGTAAGATGATATGCCTGGAAGATACGCAAGATGGTTTGACCGCTCGGGCTTTTTGACACTTCGACCAGCGGTGCGGTGGCAGTTGCGGTGGTTTGACCGATGACAGCAGATCATCGTGGCGTTGAAAACCCATTCACCTCCGAAACCCCTCAATCCCCAAATGGGTGGTGGTTTCAGATTATGTTTGCGTTCAAGCTTTATATACTGGGATGATTTTCCACCCACTGGCAATACTTTTCAAGCGAGTTGAACCAATCGCCAAGCTCAAGCTGATCAACCCAGTCGATCGCGAGCACATTTGTGTGAGCAGGAAAGTCGACGCTCTTCAACGCGGCCACACGTTGCGCAACCTGGAGGAGAATTGGATGTTTGATGTTGGGATGTCACGTCGAATGGTCGGGAATCCAGACACTCCACACTCCTGACCCCCCTTGTCGTTGCATCCCAATCAGGCATGTGTTTGATGCCAGTCCGGGTGTGCAGATGAAGAATTCTACTTCGTGGATGGGCGATGAGCAGGGTCCCGTGGGTGACACCCGATCCCGAAAACGTCCACCAATTCATCCCCCTTGCATGCACCGAAAAAATGAAATGATTGAAATGCAGATGCCTTGCGGAAAAACAAAATGCGTAACAATATGCCGTACTACGCCACCTGAATGCATCAAGTAAGGGGGATACCAGTTCTGAATCTTTCTTTTTGGCACCCTGGACCTTCAAGGGGTGTAGGGGCTTCCATTGGTGACCCCTTGAAGGTGCTGGCATGCTCTTAGACCCTCAGCCCCTTTGGTTCATAGGGGGAGTACGACAAAACCCCTAAAAGTTCAACCTTGAGCAGAAGATCTAGACCTAAGGACTGACAAGAGTTTTTGATTGTTCTTGGTATTTCTCCATATATCATATTCGATCCACTCCAGGATGATGATATTTAGTAGATTGGTCAGCTCGGCCCCTGCCCAAAGAAACATGCACCAAATCAGACAAATCATCCCTGTTCCCCCCCCCATGTTTTCCCCTATATGTTTGTACTTGTTGAATGGTCGAGTCACATGCATCTCAGGAAAAGGAAGCAGCGATGGCTCCACATCCTTTCACGACCATCGACCCCAACGTGGAGCCCGGCTGGTTTGCTGTGCCCTGCCCCTCCGTGACGCTCCAATGCCAGGCGGACCCGTATTTTTCGTCTCGCGGCGGAACCGAGTGGCGCGGGGGGGGGACTCGGTGGAACAGCGTGGTGAAACACCGTGAACAGCCACGAAAAGGCCATCGAAAGGGACTAGCTGAGCGTTAGGTGCCCCATGTGGCGCAGCTTCCTTTTCAGTGTGGACTTCGCAGGCGGCTTGCTTCACGATCTGAGTGGGTGCGGCCGACCCAAAGAGTTTGAACTCAAACTGGCTGCGCTCTTGACGCACCTTCCCTTTCCAACTATGGTGTTCAACAACGCACAGCACACCGTGAAGATGGACTGTTCGAGGTCAGCATGAGACTGGCACTCCAGTCACTGGGAACTGGGCCATGTGCACTCGTGGGGTGTCCCCAACCCGGCCCAGAAAGGTTAATCATCTAAGATGTGCCAACCCTCATGGCCCAATCCCGCACAAAAAATCACCGCGCAGGACGAGTGCGAACCAGAGCATGGACGGGCCGACCGTGGGCAGCGGCGCTTTCCGCTGCTGGTGAAGGATGTGGCTGGACTGGTGCCAGGTGGGAGATCAAAGATGGCAGATCATCGCAGATAGTGAGCTAGGCAGCTAGAAGGGGAAGGAGGAAGATGAAGTGATATAAAGTGCAGGTTTTGTGAAATGAGCGGTTTTCCTGGATGTTCATATGTTCATGTCTTCAAGGGGGTGTAAGGGTGCAGCTTCGGAAAGGGAAGGGTGACTTTGGTCCACAGGAACAAGCAGACGATTATAAAATACATCGATCATCAAACGCATCAAAATACCCTGTGCTTCTTTTACGGTTTGCTACGGGCTGGAAGGAGAGGCTGTCTTAAAAAGAGGTTCAGGGTTCTTTAGAGTCCAATACTTAGTACAGATTGTTTGTGTTAGTGAGAATATGTACGGAACATGGTATACGTCATCATATCCCAGACACTCCATGTATGGTATATTTACTCACATTGGGGTGGTTTGGGGGGGTCAATGTAGGCATATATGGCAGTCCCATGAAGTGTTTGGGTATAGTATATTCAGATTAGTTACTTAACCGTTCACTCCATGTATGCCATATAAATGCCTACATTGGTGGTTTGATGGGCCAATGTAGGCATATATGGCAGTCCCATGGAGTGTATGGGTAATATCAGACCTGCACCCCTATGGATTCACAATGAGACACATGGCACCTTCGCTGAGGAGTTCCAGCACTTACCTCTCACACACACCCGCCACACGAAAACTCCCCCCCCCCCCCAAGATTCGTGTCAGGTGCCTATTTAGGCTATGGCCGTGGCAACGCCTTCCTCAACGACCTCCTCGACGCCGATAGCGTCATGGTATAGCTCTATTGGACGGAGATGTTTCGGTGTTTCTTCCTATTCCCTGAGGGTGAAAGAAGACTCTAAAAAGATATCAAGAATAGTCTTTGGATACTTGAAAGGGAACTCCCTCTACTTAACTGATGCAAAATATAGTCTTTCGAATTCTAGGTATTGGGTTTTAATCCCCGGAACCGGGGAAATACTGCCCAGACACTCCATGGCACTGGTATGCCTACATTGACGTCAACCACCCCAATGGGACAGCATTTGGATCTCCATTGCACAACCCCAGAAGGTCCAGGTATGTGGTCACCGACTTCCGGCGAACACTGCCACACGACCCTCGCAGTTGAGGTCCGGTGGGGAACACGACCAGCCCCGGACGCCAGAAACGCACGCCACGGTTCCGACTCCAAGGCTTGGTGCACGTGGTGGACGCCTCCGGGCGCAGCGACGCCGAAGGCGTGGACCACGGCAAGGCCGACGCTCGGCTCTCGGCGGGCTGGCCGGGGGCGGGGTGGCTGGGTTTGTGGGGCTCCGCCGGGGTGGTGGGGGATCATCAGCATTGACGATCCATATTTTAGTTGTCAGGCTGGAGCAGGTCGTGGCATGTCGTGGCACGTTGGTTTGGGAATGTTTTGGTCCCTTCCGGGAGCTGGTAGAGGCCTTTTCGCCTTGCACTTCTTTTCGTAATAGCATTGCAGAGCAATACGGAGAAGGATGGAGTCCAGGGATAAATGACAGGTGGGTCAATCGGCCTCGGGTGGCTAACAGGTGCTTGTTCACCGCATTTGGGGAACAAATGCTAGAATATGCTAGAAACATCAACATGGCCCGTCTCGACATGGAGACTCAAACACACCCTACACACCCTGAAAGGTTGATGATCAATCTTATCTTGACATCCTCGACCATCCGCAATCTTTAGTTATTGTCAAAAACAACCATTTACCCTGGACATCACAGCCGCAAACCGTCCACCGCCAGCCTCTCTCCGTAGCATAGCTTTCTTGAGCGCTGCGGGCCTCCGAGGGCAAAGGGCATGATCCATTGAAGGATGTGGAGTGGGTCCGGCAAGAGATCCACATGTGGATATTCTGCCACTCAGTTGCAGCTGCTTCACGTAAACGCCCGATGTGACGCAAAGTGTTGGGTTGTATATAAGTTCAGCTCAGAAAATGTTCTACCCCCAGTAAGTATTCTGCCTTTCAACGTGCGTCTGCTTTTCCCGAACGCCTGCCACTCTGCTCCTCAGGCAATGTGCGCGCGAAGTGGCACTCGGTGCGTAAGAGGGCAAAATTCGCCCCCCTGCAGCCTTTGGCGGCCGAGCGGCTCTTTGGACTCTTCACAGGCGATGGCCGTCGTCGTTCCGTGGGTTCTGTGCACCGGGCCGCCGCCGGCGGTTGCTGGCAATGGAGGTGGGGTCAGGTTTTCAGACTTCGAAGGCAAAGTGCGAAGGCACTTTGACTTTCCAAGATCCTTTGATTTTCCAGCTTTGAAAGTCAAACTTGTGAAGTCACATCAAGTCCCTGATATATATATATATATATATAGATATTATAGTGATGAATCCCTAGGGGTCCAACCACATCCTCAGACTCAGAAGGTGGTTACCAAACCCACCCCAACCACCTTCCGAGGAGGTAGTTGGATCCCTAGGCCCTAGGCCCTAGACATCCACTCATAGACTCATTGACTCCATCCTGCACCCTGAAGCAGTCGGACGAATTAATAAGCTTTCAGGTCAAGCTGGTTGGGATGTCGGGTGGGCAGGCTACCATTGCTCCCAACAGCTGGTTGCACAAGTCTACGAATCCACGGGCCACCGCATCGCCACACTGCCCCAGGTTGCCCGCGAACGAATCGCGCGCGCGTTGCTCGCGCGGCGGCGAGGAAGGGATGTTGTAGCCAGTGCAGTAGAGCCAGTGAAAGTTTTTGCTGGCAGAGCTAGCTAGCAGCTTAGCAACTTGCAATGTAAGAATATACTTAGGACTCATGCTGATACATGTTAGTAGGCTAATTACATGAGGCATCAGAACTTTTGCATTCTGGTTGTCCCTGTCTTCAAAGTGGGCTTAGGACTTTCAAACTGCCAATTCCTGAAAAAGTTGGGTTTGGTGAAATAGACATCCTGGTATTGCTTGTGTAAGATGATTGTTTTTCAATGTAAATCCCCTTCTGGGGCCCTGGGCCCTTGGGGATATTTGTTCAATACGGGTGCTCCTGGGATATGTTTTTCATGCCAAAGATTGCAAAAACACTGTGTTTACAGTGATTTGTTGCTAAAACACCACCAAAAGGTTTTCAGCTAGTTTTAGATTATTGTTGTGAGGACCAGGCCTATCACAGTTTAGAGGGGGGGAATACATGGTCCTTTATAGTGATTTTTTGCTAAAACATCACAAAAACAAACATTTTCAGCTATTTATAGATCAATTTTGTGAGGCAGGCCTATAACAGTTTATATAGAGGGATACATTGTGCTTTACAATGATTTTTGGCTAAAACATCACCAAACCCTAGGTTTTCAGCTGTTGTTAGATCAATTTTGTGAGGGCCAGGCCTATAACAGTCTTGAGGGAATACTACAAAACCAAAAAAAAAAACACAAAAAACACATAAAAACAAAAAACAAATGTTTGAGACAACATGGGGGTACTATAGGAGTTGGAATTTTGTTGTTTTTGAAGGGTGTTGTTTTCCATTTTGCCTCAAACTTTTTTTTTTGGGGGGGGGGAGTTGTTGTTTTTTGTTCTTAATTAAACGTTGTCGCGCAGCAAACATTCGTGATAAGTTGCACAGTCTTTTTAATAGTTTGCATGTTTGACACGGTTGTGCTTCCGACAGTATCGCTAAACGCAAGTCCTGCCTAGAGAATTCTTTATAAAACCCTTTGTTGAAAAGCAATAGCAATTTGATCAGTACGACTCTGGAAAGGCTACCCCTCATGAAGCCACCATACCCTAAATAAAGTGCACCCTAAATACAGCCAAACATGTTTGTTGCCTGCTCTAAGTATCTAAGTAAAGATTCATTTCATTTCATATTAAACTCCTTTCTTAGAATGCCCCTTCTGTTTCGGGTAAAAATTCATTTCACTTATTAAATTCCTTTCTTAGAATCCCCTTTCTGTTCTAAGTAGAGATTCACGGCATTTCCTTATTAAACTCCTTTCTTATAAATTCCTTTCTGTGTTGATCCAGGAACTTGTCCTAAGTAAAGATTCATTTCATTTACTTCTTAAACTCCTTTCTTAGAATCTGGAATGAACTTTATTCAAAGTCAAAGTGAAGGGGGAGGGGGGGCCCTGTTCATTAACAATACGGGTGCTCCTGGGAGAGGTTTGTTTGCAAATGGACACGTAAAAATACATCATGAAAAGCCAGATAGCAAGAGACTAACGCAATATCATTGACATACATGTTCATCTTGATGTATATATGTAGTATTTATATTCGTTCATGATGCTACATTCATTGCGCGCAGAGAAGAATTAACCTACTTGTCATTGGTGTTACACAGTGATAGTGGGCAGACGAAGAGCTGTTAATTGTTGTCATTGACGCTGCACATCCAGACTGGGCACAGGAAGGTTGAAAAATATGATAATGCATTTCGCCTAGGTCGCAGAGCAGTCTTTGAAATTTTGCACGGTACTTACAGTGTTTCTCAAGGTTTTGAGCTAGTGCGTGCTCTCCCAAGCACACCCGCCCTCTATTTTTCCAGGTTACTTAGGCAAATCCCAGACATGGAGGCTAGCCGAGATGGCCTGACGCACCATGTTTCGCTGAGAACATATTTTCCCCCCCACAGATGGTGTAGCCATAAGCTGAGAGGAATGGACAGGACATGATCCGACTGGCGAGGCTTAAAAAGGACTCTTATGATATCCTGTAGTGGTCAAGAATCGACATCAGTGTGGAGAGTCCTTTCAATACATTGAATAAATCATTATGCCAGTTATGGGCATATGATGTGTATGAAGTTTTGTGTGCAACCAACAAGCATGCACATGTCTTTTGCAAATGCAGTAGCATGTACACGTTTGTACTTGCAACCATGGACACGGAACAAAAGGAATCATAATTCATCCTGCCCCGTTTTGCGCGAGGACGTCCTGAACTGGAGCGAATTCGACCTTCATTTGCTGGTCGCTTGCTTCCTTCGGGTCCGCTTCCCCATCGTGATCGCTTTGAATAAGGCGATGACGACCATTGGATGCGCGCAAAGAGACCAGAAGGAAACATGGGGTTGACTGGCCGGTTGCGAGTTCAAAGGTCCAAGATCCATGGAAAGATAGGGAAAGGTGGGTTCAGATATGTTGAGATCATGTCAACTCCTTAAGTAGGCCAATCAGTTTTAGACCACTTTCACCCACGTTTCCTTATACTTATATATGCCGTCCTCTTTTCCAGGGGGTCGTTGTGTGGGGGGGTCTCCATGCAAACAAGGGCTCACGAATCAGATGTTGTGGGACCTCCCAGTCGTCGCATGTTTCGGAGATCCAGACGTGGACTAAGCTGGACCTTCCAACTAATATATGGAAGAGCGGACGTTTTGACAAATATAATATACCCTACGCAACCAAACCCTATAAATTTGTAGGGTCTCAATCGGAACCTATATATATATACTGCAGCTTTAAAGGAAGATCTAGGCGTGAAATGGCACCCGAAATCTTGCTTCTCAATGTTCTGGATACTGTTCCCCCCCCCGCCGACTTGTTAACAGTTCCGGCATGTCAAGGCTGCGCATGTTCCCTCCGGTTTTCCACTCCTCAAGACTCGATGTTGACCAGATCACCCGCTGGACCGCGAAGTGAGTGTGTATGCAGGCGGACACGGCAGAAGCTCAAGAGCACATCGTGAGAGCGCAGGCCGCGGTGAGTTCTGCCGAAGATCGAGCGGGCGAGGACGCCGGCAGTTCCGTGCAGTTCGGACCAAAAGCCCGATGGGGGGATCAATGCGAAACAGACCACGGCTGATGAGAAAGTGTTTCAGAGAGACTCTATAGAAAAATTCAAATAGTTGTGAATCAAATGTTGGATCTCAAAAGCATTCCTAATTGTGGCAGGTTGACCCTATTTGTCAGTAATAGTATGGTCTATTCTTGTCATTTAGGGTGATCAGCCAAGGTTCCCTCGCGTTTCTCCTGTTGACGCTCCTCCAACCATCCAGGCTGCCTTGGGCAATGCTGTGGCAGTGTCCGCGCGCAGTGAGCTGTGGCTGCTGCAGCAGCAACGGAAAGGCGCATGGTGCACCAATGATTTGCGGGGTGAGTTGGCGAAAGCTCGTGTTGAAGGTATTTGTTTTTTGGCTTCCTGGATGGTGCAGATCTGGAATTTGTATGAATTCGTTGCCTTTTTGAAGGAGACACATCCATGTTCAGCATGTTGGTTCGGTCAGACTCTTTACTGTAGATCAAAGCACTTTTTGGAGATACACATCCCTAAAGGTTTTCATGGTTCCGTGGATGGTGGCATTGGCGCCCCGAAGACTCGGATGAGCGTTCAGAACACCCGAGATGATCGATGGGTGGAGCTCCACTTTCCGATGGGTTTAGGGTTTAGGGTCCTTTTTGTTGTTAGTAAACACGGACGCTACGAACGGAGTCAAGGGCATCGCTATAGTTACTATATAGGCCCATAGCTCCTGGCATCGCTACGAACGGAACAAGAAGCGAATAACGGAAACGAGGGACCGAGATCTGTTCCGACCGATGGTGGGGGAGGTTTTCCGACCCGACCGCCTGAAGCCATGATAAGCCCTGTGAAAGGTTCCACTGCATTTGGCAACGTCATAAAGCGTGGGCAACGTCATGGGGTCGGGACGGTGTTGGGGAGACTTCTGCCCCTTGTCTCAGTCAAGTCACCAAGTTTATCAGGTGGATGGCTGTTTTCGAAAGACAGCTCCCGAAGATGAGGCAACACTGCAACAGCAGGAAGTATGAGCTTCCAAGAGCTACCACAGAAAAGGCTCCAAGTCTTTCGAAAGGGCACCATTTTGGTGATCTTCGAACACATGTTGACCTGGTTTTGTAGTGCCAAATCCTTAGTAGTTGCTTCGGTCAAGCCCATCAAATTCCTAGGGACGCCAAGCACGTACGTTGCCAGGTCATCTGACCTATCTCGAAGGCGGAGGCCCCCAGTCCATCGCAATCACCGAGCATGCACCTGAAGATGTCCGCGACCAGGCGCAAGCCGCATGTCCCGCGCTTGGCTTCTCCGGTGGCTTCTTCGACGCGGGTCCGGCCGGTGATGTTAGATGGTTCGCTCCGGTAGCGGCACCTGGAGCCGACCAAACACGCCCAGACGGGGAGTGACCCGTTGTTTTTTCCCTATCCCGTGGTCCCTTCCTTCACGCGCGACCGGCGGTTGGGGGGAGCGACCGGTTCGCAACATGACACGCCCACAATGGGACCGGCGGCGGTGGCGAAACAGCGGCGATCGGGATCTGTCGATGTAGTCCACGGCGTGGGATCTGTACACGACATGACCTGCAAACATGCCTCTTATATGTTGTATCCAGACCCCTGTTCAACCATCCAATGCTAGGGAAACACATATTAATCATATAAATTCATATATGATTCTATTCTACTCATTGGAGTGCCAGGATCTGGTTGACCCATGTTGGACGCATTCCCAGGCACTGTGCACTTCCGTGTTGAAGCTTTTACTCCACCATATCTCACCCAGTTTCCCACCGCGAACGCGAAAGATGGACGAAACTCCCATATACCAGGACCAGTACCAGGACCGACACCAAGAGATGTCTATCAATCGCCTCTTGATGAAGTGGATCTGTCCCAAAAGCACCGGGCGAGGCTTGGAAGGTCTGATGGATCCATTGGACCTCCAACTCCTGCAGCCCGACCGACCAAGGGGGTTGGTGGACCGACCTCATCGATGAGCGGTGCAGGTGTCTCAGCTTCGGCAGAAGGTGCTGGAGGTTTATGGCTCCACGGGTGTCATGGAGGCCGGAGCTTCCAGCGCGGCTGCACCCGGGCGAGGTGGTTTGGGCGGCGTTTCGATATAGATTCCATCCCGTCTATTGGAACTTGGAGGTCTTGGAAGACCAGGATGAATCATCCGTTCGGGGTTTCCTAGCTGGGGGTCCAGTCTCTTCCAAGGGGTGTCCGATGGAGATCGATATGTGATTACAGTAGCAGTAGTAATTAGTGCAGATGTGTGTGTGTGTGAATCTGTGCTGTCATCAAACCATTTTCTCTTAATTAAGCTTTTCCTTTGGAGGGGTGTGGAAATTAGAGTGCGCTGTTGTCGCGGAAGCCTGGCGCAAGTCCTCGCTACAACTGACCGGGTAAGCTAAAACTGCGCACGCGCAAGGAAAGTGTAAGTCTCAGCGTAAGACTTCCCATACGACCCTTCGATCCATCCAGGTTTCCAGCACACCTCATGTATGGCATGTTTCATTCCATTGGGGTGGTTTGGGTGGGTTCAATGGGGGCATTCCAATCCCATGGAGTGTTTGGGCATGTTTGGGTGGTAGATAGTGGGTGCCATGGCCTCATCACGGCCCCCTTGGAATGAAGACCAAACAAGTGAAGTCTTCGTCCCGAGCTGGGCGCCAGGTGCTTTCGCGCGCGGTCCTGCAACGGAGCCCCGTGTTTTGCTGCCCCGTGAGCGAGTTTACCACCCTTCAGAGCTTGCAACCGGGCGGCAGGCGGTTTGGTTCTTCCAAGTGACCGAACTGGATCCGCTGGTTTTGAGGTCACTTAGTTAGGCCATCTCAGGCCTGGAAAAGGTCACCAGTCACTTGGGGACTCCAATAAAGGTCACTTCGGAAGAAACATGAAGGAGCTGTGGGGGAGTTTCTCTTTCATCCGCAAGTCTCAACGCTCCCAAACAATTGTCGAGACAAGGACCCTCAGGGAGGAAATATGTTGGTGCAATCTTCCAGCACCACCTAAAGGGTGGTTTATAGAACCCCCCTGAAGATGCATTTTTCATCCAATAACCACCCCCTTGGGTGGTGCTGGTTATTCTTTTCACCGTTTTTTCGGCAGCCCCTCCTTGGTCCAGGTCTCAGCAGCCTTTGGCCCATCCCCAAGTCCCAACCGTGCCATGGCCGTGCCGTGATGGATAGAGCAAGAGAGATACCATGACCAGTCCGTCTACTTTGAGGTCCAGCGGTGGCTATTCGACCAAGTCGAAGTTAGTCACGATGATGATGTTGCGACCTCTCTCCACAGTCGAGGAGGCATCGTTGAGCTTCTGGATTCTTGTGATCGGATTTCTGCTCCACACATGAGCTTTGACAAAGAATGTCCCGCGGAAACCCATAGGAGTTACGAAGATGGTGTTCCTCAAAATAAGGCAGGTACGGTACGGTATGTTGTCATAGCCGGGGGGTCACAGGTGAGACATTTGCTTCGGCTCGAAGAAGATTGTTTTGTTCGATTCCAGCCTTCCCATCCGCTTAGTGCCAGTTTGTGGTTAGACTTGTCCAAGTCGAATGGAATCTCTCCCAGCAAGTAAGATGGTGGTGGCGCAAAACTGGGGCTCCACGGCCGGCTGTAGCACAGACTGGCCTTTGAAATGCTGCTCAGGGAGGCACCAGGGGGGCCCATAGTTGCCTACCTTGCAGATTCTCGGCACCGAAGTCGCACCTCGGCACCGAAGTCGCACTAGGAATTGCAGCTTTATTGATCCCCAGAGCCCCTATGATGGCACTGATCACCCCTAGTCTGTGTTTCTTTCCTTTTGGATCCTTCACCGCCCAGCTTGCTTTCCGGCCGACTGGATGGTGCCAGGTTCATGCGGCCTTGAAGAATGAGCCACTTGGAGACGGACCTGTCGGGACGATGCGACCGAAGCCACGGACAACCGGCATCAGCAGGTCAGCAGCGTGGTTGTTCCGACTCAGCAGAAGGAGGTCGATCTAGTCATGGGATCTCATGGGCTTTCAGCCTGCAGGTTTCGCTCAATTCCAGGAATCAGAGTCGCACAGATCGCCCCATGTCTTAAAACAACGGTGTGCAAAGCGAGATCGTGATAGGACGGGACGTGCAAATGTGTGCATCGTTTTTCCAAGGGTGCTTACAGGACACTTTGGGTTTTTGTTGCTTGCCATTCGTTTGCGAATGTGATGCTATGTATATATATATATATATTTCCCTTCTTGGCGACTGACGGGAGAAATGGTTCTGGTTGGCTTCACATTTTGACTTAAGCGCGGTTTCTGTATTTGTTTTAATATATATATATATATAACATGTAAAAAAAAGACTGGTACAGTCCCTGGAAACATGGCGCCTTGGAAGACCATTTTCGCCTACAAACAGGGGTTTTCCACTTCCATGTGAGTTCCAGGCAGTCTATGAAATTCGTAAATATGCATGACTTCATCTTAGAGACAGCAGGCCAAACTTCCACGCCATGAACCGAAACCTGCGCCGGGAGACGCGCGGAGTTTCGCGCGTTGCGGAGCTTCTTGGCCAAACACGGGATGGAGCAAAGCACTTGCAAACCACGGGATGGAGCTGATTAATCAACCCCCCCCTTCCCCCCCTCTCGCTGGGCTTGATTAATAATAAGGGTGAGGTTACTTAATCCCTTTGGGCCCTCTTCCCGTTCCGCGTTGGACCTCCGGGCTGTCGACCCAGGAAGCTCGTCCGGGGAGACCTCGTCCGAGCGGAGATGCTTCACATCTCCACTGGACAGGCGAGTCCAGCCGTCGACCGTCCGACCACGTGACCCTTGGACGACATACTCCAAATCCATCAACCCTCCCCCTGTGGATTTGAGAACCTCTGAAGCCGGGGCGTGATTCATGAGTTGAAACCTGTTCCTTGACTTCTTAGAGCGGTTTCTGAGCAAACCTGCATGACCAAACCACCTGTACTTGTAAGGTGAGATTCGGACCCCCCGGCGTGAGATGGCCCATTGAGGCGGCCACTTGTAATGGCCTACCTCCGAAACTCGCTATGCTTGGGATGGAGGCAGGTGCCAAGAAATAGGCGCTTTGGCGCCCTACTTGCTGAGCGACCGGGGATTCTTGCCGACATGCGCAGCGCAACACGAAGAACTTCAACGTGGATGGCATCCTCCACTTACTGTTCTCGTTCCATATCCCAGCCCACTATATACCCCAACCACAGGAAGATTGGCCGTGTCATGCCGTGTCACTATGTCCGGCTCGCCGTTTCCAAGCACCACAGGTGTCGGTGCTCCGGCGGGAGGAGGTGCTGAAGCCGGAGGGCGCGCAGGCTGCGACCTTCGTGTTACGCATCCTCACCAACAAGAAGGTGGGGCCCGGCAATCGGGCCGCGTGACCCATGCACGTGGGAGGGTAGATGGGGCATGTGGGAAGGTGAAGAAGGGAGATCAAAGATCCACAAGTGGCGTAGGAAAGAAGAAAGAGAGAGGGAGAGAAACTCTCAATGCGCGACCGGTCGACTGGGTGAATTATTATGAATGTTTCAGGTGAAAGATTGTGACAATGCATTGCTTCCAAAGGGTTCTGCTCTAGCACCACATCACACTGCTCTTGCTGGAATGGAATCATAGCCCAAGATACCAGAGGCTCATCATGAGATATCATGAGTACCTCCAAAAGCCTGACCAATGACTCGCAACAAGTCTTGCAAGGAAAGGGACGCCAAAAAAGGTTCTGAGGGTAGAACAACTCCTTGGACTCCTGGCAAACCACGCCCAGGAACCACCTGTCAGGCTATCAAGTTCATGGTATGGATATGCTGGGTATGCTGGTTATGGGTGTATCAATGTGTATCATCCCATACCCATACACTCCATGGGACCGCCATATATGCCGCCCCATGAAAACCCCCAATACCACCACCCAATCGGCCGTGAAACTCAGGCAGTCACTGGCAGTCCCATGTGTCGCGTTTGGAACCGGATATCCTCCAACCACCCCAGGGAGGACCACGAAACCATGGAACCACACCGACCACCTCCGGACCCTGCATCCACGGCTTCCACGGACGCGGTGGGACCGTTCCACTGGAGCCCCTCAGGCGAAGTGAACGCCGCCTCACGCCGTGAACGCCTCACCGAACAGCGATGAAAGGAGTCCGAGTGCAAACCAAAACCACCGTTTCTGGACATGTGACGAAATGGAAACAGAGCAAATGCATTCTGAATCTCTGAATTTCGGATGTGTTTTGATGTCTTGCAGCTGGGTTAGCTGTTTGAGCTGCCTCCATACACTACGTCTAGGTTAACCTTAGGTCTCCAGATAGGGCCCGAGTTAGCCATGAGATTGCATGAGGTGTTTGATGTCCATTTGCCCAGTGGTACTGCACTTATATACAGTATGATTTGGTGCATGAGATTGCATGAGGTCGAAGAACTGTGGTGCGAACATATATGCGAACCAACACCGCCATGCCATTTTGTGTCCAATGGAGAATCAAAGACCCATCGAATCAGATGGGATAAGTGAAGTTGAAGTTGGAGACTTGAGTTGGCTGCAGTCAAGTTCAAGGAGACACCAAATGTTGGAATCGCCCTTGCGCTTTGCAGGCTGAAACAAAAAGTAAACCATGTTCAAGCCTTATCAGGGGATCGCAGATATTTGAAGGACACTCGAGTTAAGCACACCGAGTTCACCACATGTCTTTCAATCTTCTTAGGAAGCTACTAGCAGCAAGGGCATCGCTACTAGTAACAAGAAGCTACTATATAGTAGTTCCAGGCATTACTACTAGGAGCAAGAAGCTACTAGTAACACAGGGCACCGCTACTAGTAACAAGAAGCTAACGCCGATCCTTGAAAGCCATGGCTCATTTTGGCCATCCTATGCTCAGCAGCTAAGTTCGCAAAGAGCGGGTTTGAGATGATCGTTGATGTTGCGGGGAACCCCTTTGGGGAACATGTTATCCTAAGCAAATCCAAGTGGCTTTCTTGGGAGATTGGTGAAACCACACTGAACAGTTTTACGGGTGAGACTAGGGTTTTAACCAACTCAGGGAGCCTCCAGCATTTGAGCAACTTGTGCGGCCTTGCATTTCGAATAATGTCCTGTCATGCAATACATTTTGGCCCAGGCCAATGCAGCACGCGACAGATGAGAGCAGGGTTGTGTGACACAAATTCATGCTGCACAAGTGTCATTCCAAAGTGATGGTGTGCCAAAGGGCACTGCTCATTGCACGAAAGAGATTGCTCAAAACAATTTGGACGACACTCGTAGTTTGAAACGTGCTGTTATCCAAATGCACTGATGCATGTGAGGTCATGAACATGCTTTACTGAAGCAAGTCTGTTTTTCCGCATGCCACGGCACGTTTATTGGTTTGACCACTTTGCAGCCCTTGCCGCTTGCAGCATCGTTTGGCTCATTGGGCCGGGCAAAGCTGGAAAGAACCAAAGAGAGACTTGGCCTTGGAATTGGCAAATAACACCAGCACCCTCCCCTAGACAAGCGAAGTAGAAGCGCCCCCTGGTTTGTAGAAATGATTGTTCCGGCCAGGACGTCACACTTCCAATTAGGGTAAAACACACTCGGGTACTGTGCTTCCTTGCAAGATGTATAAGCAATTACTGTGTGCAAACAGACTTTCAACAAGTCTAGCTTACCATCGCTCGCAGATTGCTCTCAGGACTTCATTCCGCTCTGTCCTCCTTGCAGCTTGACGAGGCCAAATGTTCTTTAGCAGCTGCATTGTCAGAAAGAACCACATCCTTCAACTGGACCCACCTGGCAGAAATGCCTTGGTGGTACAACCAACCGTCCTGAGGCGCATCGACGTAGACAAGCGTAGACGTAGACATATGAACATCTATCAGGATCATGTAGACATATAATATATGTGGACTCTTGATCCATCAATTTGGATCGTAAAATATCGTAAAACCTGTTCATAGGTGTTTTTTTTAAATAATGGAACATCAAGCGTCTAAATTACTATAATGAACATCAAGCGTCTACATTGACCAGCATTTGGCTGCATTTGACCAGAAGTTTGTGGCATGAGCTCATGTGATGAGTAAGCACATGAGCACAGGCGGCCAAACCCCTCATCAGTTGAAGTGCCAAAGTTTCGAAACCAGAGGCCTGCGCTTTGCTTTGCTTCCTCTTTTCTTGTGTTTTCCCGGTGTCAAGAGAACATAAGATATCAAAACTCGACCTGACAATGAATGCCGGGATTGAATGTTTGTTTTTTTTTTAAAAGATCTTTCTGATTGGATGGTTTGCAGGTTTTCCCTTTGAGTTGTGTTCCTTGGCATTTTTGCATTGTATGTACTTATATTATGTATTTACGTGTGATCCTTGAATGTTCCTTCTATGGGGATTCCTTTGTCTGGACCCCCACGTCGCAGCGCTCGCAGGTGTATTGCTGGAAGCTCGCTGATTTTGTCACTTTCGGACGCATGTCTCTTGGAGCAATTGCTTGAGCAAATCATCGGATGTCGTTGCCCCATCGAAGGCATGAGAGACTTGAGTGGATCCTTTGCCGCAGATGTTCCAATTCTCCCAGTCGTATTTCAGTTGGAGACTGAATTGGAAAAAAGTCAGCTTTCCAAACATTGAGCACTGGACGTCGGCATCGCCATGTTCTAGTCAGCTTGTGTACGAGCTAGAGCAGCTGGCTCTTTTGCGAGACGTGCAATATATTTGCCGCGCAACTCGCCTGGGTTTGCCTTGTTTGCTTTCAGTTGTTTTGCCTCATTATGCTCACTCCCTCCAGTCACAAATTTTGAAGCAAGTGAAGCAAGTGCAACGAAGGCCAGGGACACAGGATTTCAAGCTCTCCGTTCGCTGGACAATTCGTTAGATCAAAGACCCTGCCAAAGTGGCCAAGAGGATACCCCATGTTGGCCGAGCCATGGTTACTTTGGTCATGCCACATGAACATGAGCCCAATGTCGCCGCCGTTTGGCGCGGTGGATAGAACCAAACCTCAACGATGCGGTGTTTGCGTCCGAGTTTCCCAAATGGCCATTTCCTCTCAGCTTAGGAGTTTGTAATCAAAAGAGGTCAGAGGTATGGCTTGACCAAGGAGTTTGCTGGAAGAGGATTTCTCAGCTCTCACCAAATTCGAAGATGAAGAAGCGGGTGGAGGAAAGGTTTGCGGGGTCTATGCAGAGGCATTTTGCAGACACTGATTGGGACTTCTCCATCTCCTGGCCCAAATAGATCCAAATAGCCTGCTTTCCTATTTTTGGTCCAAAGATTGGGGGGCTTGACTGCACGAGTGCGGCCAGAGGGTTCTCAGCAAAGCTTGTCCGACCAAGACCTTTGACTTCATGGACGCTGCCGAGCAGTTGAGAGGCATTCAGGTTGTCCAATGTGGAGGATGTATGAAAAAGCAGCTCAAAGCTTCGCAAGCAGAGCCTGTTCGAAGAATCCAGGACTTCAGCTGTAGCTGTCCAAAGACCAGAGGCAAGAACTTTGCACAGATGTTTGTGTTTTTAGCGCTGGACCCAACCATAGCACATGCATTCGGAAGCCCATCTGGTGATCAATTTCTCATGCTTCAGAGCAGCACGCTGCAGGTCCTTTGTTTTGCAACGAGTTCCTCCATTAATGATTGCTGAGCTGCAGTCAGTTGATCAAGTTACATCAAGTTACCAACTTACCAACCAATAAGTTTAGCAGACCTGAGGGACAGAGAGTCACAGTTTCGTGAAGGTTGCCGGCAATCAACAGCTCTAGATAGATGTACCATCGCAAGGGCTAGTCAGCTAATCAGGAAATGCGCTAGCAAGATCAACCGTGGCAATGAACCGTCATACGGCCATCAAACTGGCTAACGAAGTTGTGTTGGGTCGAGGAGCGGTGTGCCACATGTACACAGAAGCATTCTGCAGATACTGATTGGGACTTTTCTGGCTCCTTGCCTAAATAGCCTGTTTTCTCAACCTTCAGTCCAAAGATTCGGGGCTCGATTTTAAGAACGGGGCCAGAGGGTTCTCAGCAAAGCTCGTCTCACCAAGACTGTTGACTTCATAAGCTGCCGATTGTGAGAGGCATTCAGGCTTGCCAATGTCAAGGATTTGCGAGCATGTGTGAGACATTTCAGAAAGCAGCTTGAAACTTGGCTGTCCCAAGCAAAACCAGTTTGAAGATTCCAAGACTTCGGTTGTATGTTCCAAAAGACAGGATACATTGAATTTTCGCAGGTGTTAGCGTTTTTAGTGCTGGACCCAACCACAGCACATGCATTCGGAAGCGCATTTGGTGATCAATTTCTCATGCTTCAGAGCAGCGCGCTGCAGGTCCTTTCTTTTGTGTCAAGTTCCTCCATTCATGCTTGCTGAGCTGCAGTCTGCTGATCAAAACGCCGACCAAGAAGCTGTGCAGGCCGGTGGTCATTTGCAGGTGAAGAGCTCTTGTGGGGAAAGCAACTGGTCGGCACCTCAAAGTAGCTTTTCAAAGAAGATCGCTGTTGGCGGTACGGGAACACAACATCCTTAGCATTTTGCGAGTTGTCAGATATGACGCTCATTGGCAATGTGGGACATCGAAGCCCCCATTTGCCGTGCAAAAGACTGCAGGTTAGAGAAGAGTTTGATGCTATGAATTGTGTCCTGTTGCGATTTATCAACAAGGTGTGGTCAGGAGATGGCACTGTTGCGCGACACGGCTGCATTGCAGCTCAGTCTTTGCTTCACTTGGACAGTTCAAGTCGTGTGAGCGAGCCTAGCTTGGGCACCGCCAGCCGCTTCAAGTAAAGCAAGCGAGCACCGGGCCCCCCGCCATGGCTAGGTAAGGATTGATTACAGTGACATTGTTTTGACATGTGTTTTCAATAGAATCGTTGCTCTTGGGATTTCCCGTTGTCGATGCTGACTGCCACCAAAGCCACGCCCCAATTGAGACTGAGGAATTTCACTTAAAACTCTTATGTGTGCAATCCGCAGAAAAGAAAGACCTCGCGGAGCAATCCGCTGCCCAGCTTCACTGTGCGCTTACAGGTTTCACTGTGAAATGTGCACACGACAACAAAGAGGGCATGCTTGCGCCAGATGAATTAGGACTTTCGCGTGCTTTCTTTCTAGACCCATAGACACCCAGCTGCTCAGCTGAGAGGATTTTGTCTTTGCAAAGCAGCCTCCGAGCACATATCCCAGTTATCCCTCTTGGGCACTGTGCGGTCGTGTGTGGTTGTGTGTGGTTTGAGTCATTGCCTTTCGAAGCATTTTGAGTTCACTAAGTTATGTTTCAGGCAACAAGTCATTTTGTTAAGTCTACGAAGCTTGAAGGGCAAGGCAAAGTAGGTCAGTGATACAGCAAGACAAGACTAAGACAAGGAAAGCAATCAGACAACGTCTCCAGTCAGATCATGCAAAGTCTTGAGGCCCATTTCTCCCAGTCTTTCTTGTTCACTGACTTGAGATGTCTCAGCTGCCTTCCCTTTGAACAAACTGTTTATCAGAGCCCTGCTAGTCCAGCAGGCTTTTGCAGCCCAAGTCTTTGTCATCATTTGATGAGCCAAGCATTTCTTGCGTAGAACAAGCTCCCACTGTACGAATCACCAATCTCTTGGACGTGAAATAGGGGAGATAGTAGTCACCTCCGATGGTTTGGATGAAGTTTGCAGACATTGAACCCCAGTCTTCAAAGTTCTCCCTGATGGGTTGCTGAACATGCACTGCTTGGGAGATGTGTGCACAGCCTCCAAGGGTGTCACTGGCTTTCCATGTGCTGCAAGACAGCCGCACTAGCTTGGGACCCCGAACGGAATGTTACACATGCAGCGCACACTCTTGGCATCTTCTATAGGAAAGGCCTACATGTGTCTTGGATTGGCAAAGGTGTTTGAGCAGTGCACTTCCAATTTAGCAACTACCAGCCTAAACAGGATTGCCATCCATGAGGCACAAAACTCTGCTGTGCACAGGCACGAAATCCGTACTGCCTGACCATCAGATTGTCTGTCTCATTTTTTGAGTCAATCTCAAGATGTTGTGGGTCCTCCAAGTCATTCTGAAGCCGCTTGAATCGTCAGCTTGTGGGGCCGTGCTACGCACCTTGCATGCCGCACCTTGCATTGAGGCCGGGTCTCATGGCAAGAGTCAGTCAGCCATTTGTGATCCTGACTCATCAGAGAACAGATCAATTTGAGGGCTTTTGCCGCCACCATGCTGTGAGAAAGGGTTTTCAACCAGCAAAAGAGTTTGGTGAGACGTTCAAGGTCTTTGACGATGCTGCTTTGTTAGGTCCCATCCGAAAGAACACCCTCGGTGCTGCAAGGCTGCAAGTTTTGTCCATTTGCACATTTTTTACCTCAGCCCATGCAGAACACCATACCTACAGTGGCTAGCACGAGGCTTTCCCAGCACGAGGCTAGCTGAAATTCATGCTGAACGGCCAAGCCTACCATTCGGAGGTGTCAGAAACTTACACCGTGAGGTGTCGAAACCATTGGTCCAGACCTCCCTCAGTGAAGAAACATGGACCATCTGTGTCTTTGCCCCACACGAATGTGTCTTTTGCCCGGCTATGATCACCTCGAAAAAGCAACATCTTCTGGAGTCTTTCACAATGCTCGCGGCAAAGGTGGCCGAACCCATTCCAGATTAGCTATTCTGGTTGGGCATCTCGAGATGCCACCATTCTTGAGCTGAGGCATGAAGGACGCTTCGGTAGCGAAGGCATGTTCAAGTATGCCAGCTTCGATCACGTTCGACCGTGGCCGAAGCGCTGCTGAAATAAGCAGCCGAGCTCTAGCTGTTTCAGCTGCTTAGCCCCACAAATAGCTGAAGTCGCACCAAAAGTCAACAGTGCACTACAGTTGACTGTGCAAAGTCGGCTGAAAAAAAACACATCAACAAGGCCTCAAGGCTTTTGTAAAGCTTCGTGCTGCGTTGAAACCTGCTGGAAAGCGTAAAGTGCATGTTTGCTCGGGACCTTCAAGATGTTATGTTATCTATTTCTTCATCGACAGGTTCTACCATTTCCGCAAAATTATGTCAAATAAGAAGAGACTTCTAAGGACTTGGCTCATGTGTTCTGAGCAGTCATGCGTGCAACAGCCACAATCGAAACATCAAACCGTGGTGATTTCGCTCCAAGCTGTGAACGATACGACTTTGGCCGAGCATGTCCCTGTCTTGCAGGGTCCTGCGGGGTTTTGGGCTTCCACTTCCTGACGGAGTCTGGTGTTGGAATGAGAAAGATGTATGAAATATGTAAACCAAGGGGTTGAAGGATGTTGAAGGAGCTCAACAAAGCCAAATCTCACAGCTGGTGTTTGTAAGAAATGCCACTGGCTCTTGAAACTCAAAAGAAGCGAAAGGTGCACACTAAGAACCAGGCCTGATTGAAGCATGTAAAAGCTCCTCAAGCTTTTCTCGAAATATTTTGGGTTCCAGAGCTGCAAAACTGCTTGTTGAATGAGATGATGAGACAAGAGCTGCTGGTGGGTTGTTCCATGCAAGGTCTAATTCGAAGTAGATCAGTTTCCAAACCAGTTGGCATTCATCCAGGTACCTGTTCAGTCAACAGGCATGGAGGCATGGCAGACACACGCACGTGTAAGTGCTGAGTGAGATTTGTTCATTTCAAAGCTCCAGGAGATTCGAGCCGGCACCAGTGTTTGCTGCACCGTGTTTGAGTAGTTCGTAGTCCAGCTCCATTTGCAAAGCCGCTGAAGCCCGTTTTTGCCTGTTCGCAAAGCTGCAAGCTATCAGGGCTGTGAGCAGAGCGTTTGACCCGAACGGCAAATTTAATTTTTCAGATGCAGGTGTCTTAGGAAGTGTTCATGAAGGCTTGTTGCTTGCGCCTCTCATATTTGCAGTCATACAGACAAAGCCGTGCAAGCGCGGTTGTCAGGGATCCGACATAGCCAAACAGCTCCTGCGCCAGCAGTACCTCAAGCAGTATCTCAGGCACCCGCAGCTGCACCAATCTACAGTTTTTACTTGAGCAAAGCTGCAACTGCGACGGCAGATAAGTGATGCCCTGTGTCGTGCTTTGTTTATCAAGCTTCCAGCCGAGATTTCAGCACACAGAATCCGACCTTTGCAAGAGCTTGCCAGGCTTGCTGGACTTGGCGGATTTCAGCTTGTTCACCAGAACAACTGCTTAAGAAAGGCAATTCCCTTTGGCACAGTCGCCAGTCGAGGTTTGTTTCCAAGAGTCAGATTGCCAGGAATTGCCGACTGAGGCCACTTCAGCACTCCAGCAGGTTCAGTGCATGAGAAACTCGCAGAGACTAGCGCTGTTCTTAGCTAAAGAAACCGGCCAGAGCAAAGATGCCAACTGCCCAGACTCAAATGAAGGGCGCGACAAACGTTGGCTTGCAAATGTCCCAATTATGGCGGCTTCAATCAGTCATTTCATTTGCACTCACAGCATAGCAAAATCGAAAGACTGCGCCCATGTCACACCCTCCGAAGGTCCTGTTTCAAGTCGCAGATTGCAGTCACTTCACCACGCATTGGTTCCCATTGACCTCCTGCAGATGTTCTGAAAGAGGCATCGGAATCTGTGGTGTGTGCCAATTTCATGGCACAAAATCAAGCATTGCATACTTTTGCCATCTCTCACTGTGTTGTTAAAAGCCAAGATGTCACAAATTTGGTGAAAGCAAAGACATTTGAAGCATTCACGTTCAGCTGACTCCTTCAGCTAGTTCGTTGTGGAGTTTCAGAAGCTGCTAGGTCGTGTTGCACATCTGGATCGTGACCGGATCGGACCTGAGATGTGGCCGCCTGGTCGTGTTGCACATCCACATCCAGGGATTGAACATTTGATGGCTTCCAAGACGAATTGAGGAGAGATAGGAGATCACATGCTGCGCCATGCTGAGTCACATGCAGCGCCATGCTGCGCCTTTTCCCGAATCCTTTTTGAGACGCTGAACGAACATTAAGGCCTTAAAGAGCTTTGCGTAGCGGTGCCGAACTGGTCACATTGTCAGAACTTAACTTTGCTTCGGAGTAGCTGAGGTAGCTGCCGTCCGCGCTGTTCGCAGCTCCGGAATGGAGCGGACTATCCGCGTCGACGCAGCGGAGCCGAGGGCAAATTGCATCAGCGACTGAGGGCATTCGCATCTGCAAGATTCGCCTTCAGTCAAGATACAAAAGCTAGGAGAGTTGGGAGCGACCTGATTTGGAGAACTGCTTTGAACAGTGGGAGGTGAAAGGAGACGCTCTCTAGAGGGTTTCAAGGTGTGAAACCTGAGATTCTCCTGAACGATTTGGCCTTGATACACAGCGGCGCAGCATTACAGGCCAAGTTGCACAATGCGAGCAACGATGTCTTGGCTTGCCAGGTGCAAAGGGCAACAGTTTGCTGTTCCCGGCCGCTTTTTTCAGGGTGAGGCCGCTGAACCAGAGTGTATATACAGTTCATCGTCAAGACATCCGAAGTGTCAGCAGTTCTCCCCAAGTATTAGTCAGGTCCAGCCACTGTACTGCTTTCTGTTTGCGGTTGCCGGGCTAGCTCCTGGATCGAAATAACTCCTCACAGATGCCCGATGCCTTTGCTTGGAAGACAGTTTCCAATTTTTAAGCGGTTTGCGGAACTATGCCGCACGTCAAAGAAAGGCTGGTGCTCCAATAGAGGTTACAAGAGTATAAGGCTGCCTCGTCCGCTCAGACCTCTCAAAGCAGCAATATTCCTTTGCACAGCATTTGGTCGTGCGCTCTTGAAGGGTGCCGAATCGCAAGCGACCCAAGCCATGAGGTTCTTTGGCTGTGTTTTCGCTGCTTTTGCCCAAAAGCCATCACCGCCGCGGCTGAAGGTCGGGCTGAAGCCTTTGTTCCATGGGTTGGGCATATCCAAGTGATTCACAAGAAAAGGGCTTCCAGAGCCTGGAAGCAGCGGCAGGGACTTGGAGGCTTTGCGCAGGCACATCGTAGCACATTGTAGCAGACCTGTCGGCTTTGAGAACATGCTGCAATGCCTAGCAGTCAGAACCAACGGCCCCAGGAGCCTCAGCGGCTGTGTGCTGGCAGAAGAGTTTAAAACTTAGGTCTTTCGAGCGCTCAGTAGAACAGCTGAGACACATGTCCCACATCGCTCTTGGTGGGCGAATGTCGCACAAATTCACGAAACCGCTGATGTTTCTAGCCGGCCTTTCCAGAAGGCCAAAGCAGCTCAAGCGGAACACGCGGGACACGCGCGGGGAGATTGTCCCAAGGAATCGCCGGGTGGGCGAAACAGAAAGACACCAGAGAGTGTTCTTTTGGAGCTCGGCCAAAGGATGAGATCGAGCCAGAGGGACTCAGGACATGCGGATGCAGACCGCTCCCGCATAGCTGGGCGACATCAGTAACATCAGCATCGTCAATTTCAGCACTTGCTGCAAGTGCACTGCAGCGAAAGCGTGAAGTTGTTCAACGCCCGCAAGTCAGAAAGCTCTTAAACTTTCTCCTTTGAAAGATCCAAGATGCGGCAGATTGGAGTAGCAAAAGCCAGACATTCGTTTAGCCATTGGAAACGTTTGCCAAATGGCCAAGCCACACGGATGCCCGTCCTTCGTCCCTCGCATGCAGGTACCTTGCTTCGGCTCGCGCAAAGCTTGGGATCGTCGCAGTCTGTTTGCATTAAGAGTATCAAACCCCTCGAATGCTGTAAGACGATGAAGATCCCGCCTGGACAAGGCGGAGTGGGCTGAACAATGAGTTTGATGAGACCTCTGACGTCCACCTCTGGGTTTCTATGCTTCAGCTACCGGATGCCACTGCTGTGGCGCGAGCCCGAGCGGTCCGCAGTGGTGGATGCTTTGTTCTAAGCAACCCGCAGGTGCAGCTCAAGATGCTTCAGACGTGTTCGCGCGGACCAGAGGAGTAATTAGGCAGAGGCA